TGATCTTCGGCCCTGCTAGGGCAATAATGGTTGTGGGCACAAGAGGCAGGGGCGGCGGGCTGCTGCAGGCAGAAGTGTGAGGGGCGGCGGTGGCTGGCTGCCCTCCATGCTGTGGGAGCTGCGGACCCTGCTCTACATGGGGTTGCGCAGGGTGGGTGGTGGTGCTGGCGGGGCAGCTGCAGGTGGGGTGTGTCAACAGCGGGCTGCCCTTCCCCGGGGCTGGAGCCGATGCAGCTGGTGCTTTGGGAGCCGCGGGGCCCGCTCTAAACGGCGGGGCAGCTGTGGGCGGGGGCACGGCATGTAAGCAGAATTACAATATAAAATGTTATTGTTACAAATGTTTTTTATTATGCATTTATCATATTATAGTGTATTCTGTATTATTGTTGCAATGAATAAAATGTTTCTTTTATTTACAATATTTTTTTCTTCAATTTATTTGTGTCCCCCTTTTCATTGTAAAAAAGGTGGTCATCTTAATACATTCAAAGTAGTAATCCAAAACCCTACCCCAACTGTCCATCCAGTTGGTTCAAATAGAGCCAATCCAAAGGTGTCAAATTGTTGTGGGAATGAACAGATAAGGCACTGCTCTCAAGGTTGTTAGGTCTCTTTGTGCCATCTTCCTTCCACCCGGAGATAAGGCAGATGGCCGGAGGCACATTCCTTTCTCACCTCATACTTTTATCCAGTAGTGGAATTAAAATATCTGAACAACCGGCTTATTATTATTATTATTATTGCTTTTTTCTTTAAAAAAAAGGTGCCGGAACTCACACGTCATACAACCCGCCTTGCTTATCCTACAAGGTCCCATCCAAAAAAGTGCCGGAACTCCGTCCTGGGTGTTCTATGAGAAAAGAAGCCCTGATTATTATCGATCATCGCACAGTCAGCCAGATGTTCAGACTGGATTTGGCATTTTGTCTACTTATCAAGTCCTTACCCAGGACCTGGGATAGGCAGATGTGGATGTTTGATGGTATTACAGATATCGTCGCAGGATGGAAGCAGTTCCTAATAAGGCGCCTTTTGCAATTGACTAATAGCGAATTTGTCAATGCCAATGGTGTTCAAGTGGTGCTCCAGTTGTTTTGGGATTGCACCCAAGGAGCCTATGACTATTGGTACTACCCTTGCTTGCTTTTGCCACAGTCTTTCTATTTCTATTTGTAGGTCTTTGTATTTTGTTATCTTCTCCAGTTCTTTCTCTTCTATTCTGCTATCTCCAGGCACTGCCACATCCACTATCCAGACTTTTTTGTCTTTCTTATCGACAATTGTTAAGTCTGGGGTGTTATGTTGCAGGTGCTTGTCTGTTTGAATTCTGAAGTCCCAGAGCAGTTTAATTTTATCATTTTCTATGACTTTCTCTATTTTATGATCCCACCAGTTTTTGCTTACAGGCAAATGATATTTTTTGCAGATCTTCCAATGCACCATTGTTGCTACTTTGTCATGCCGCTGCTTGTAATCAGTTTGTGCAATCTTCTTGCAACAGCTTACCAAGTGGTCCACTGTTTCTTCAGCTTCTTTGCATAGGCGGCACTTACTGTCTGTTGCTGTCTTCTCAATTTTGACTTTGTATGCATTTGTCCTTAAGGCTTGGTCTTGTGCAACCAGAATTAGTCCCTCGGTCTCTTTCTTCAATTTTCCTGCTCTTAGCCATTGCCAGGTTTTATTGTTATCTGCTTTCCCAGCTATTTTTTTCATGTATTGGCCATGTAGTGCTTTGTCTTCCCATGCCTCTATTCTGTTCTTCATTTGGTCTTTCTTGTAGGCCAGTTTGGTCTCTCCAGTAGTTAGTAAGCCTTCCTGATATACTAATTTCAGTGCATCTTCATCATTGTTCTTCAGATATTCTTCCAAAGCCATTTTTTCTTCTTCAACCATCTGATGTACTTGTAGCATTCCACGCCCACCTATTTGCCTTGGTAGATAAAGTCTATCAATGTCACTGCGTGGATGAAGGGCATGATTCATTGTCATTATTTTTCTGGTCTGCCTATCCATTGCTTTTAGTTCTGCTTGAGTCCAGTCCACTATTCCAGCTGTGTACCTAATGACTGGGATTGCCCAGGTGTTGATTGCCTTTATGGTATTTCCTCCATTGAGTTTGGATTTTAAGATCTTCTTCACTCTCTTGATGTATTCACCTCTAATCTTTTTCTTGACTTCAGTGTGCTTGATGTTGTCAGCTTGAAGGATACCCAAGTATTTGTAGTACTCTTCCTCATCCAGACTCTTAATGTTATTTTCGTGGGGCATCTTGATTCCTTCAGTTTTCACTATTTTTCCTTGTTTGATAGTAAGTGTGGCACATTTGTCCAAGCCAAACTCCATTACAATATCTTGGCTATATATACGGACAGTGTTGAGCAGCGATTCTATTTCAGATGATGTTTTTCCATACAGCTTCAGATCATCCATATAAAGGAGGTGGGATAGTCTGGCAGATGTTTTTGATGTTTGATAGCCATGTCCTGAGTTATTCAGTATTGTTGACAGAGGAAACAGTGCAATAACAAATAGTAATGGTGATAATGAATCTCCTTGAAATATTCCTCTCTTGATATTAACCTCTCCCAGCCTCTCACCATTGATCTGCAACTGTGTCTTCCATTGTGCCATCGATCTTTGCACAAATTTTCTGATGTTTCTACTGACTCCTGTTATTTCTAGGCACTTTATTATCCAATCATGTGGCAGAGAGTCAAATGCCTTTTTGTAGTCAATCCATGCCACATTCAGGTTGGTCTTCCTTCTCTTGCAGTTTTCCAAGATCATTTTGTCTATTAGGAGTTGATCTTTTGTTCCTCTGCTATTGGGGCGGTTTCCTTTCTGCTCAGGTGGAAAGAGATTGTTTTCAACTAGATGCTGTTGCACTGCATCAGCTACTACACCAGTTAGTAATTTGAAAGTTGTTGGTAAGCAGGTAATTGGCCTGTAGTTACCTGGTGTTGCCCCTTTTGCTGGATTTTTCATTATTAGGTAGGTTTTCCCAGTTGTTAGCCACTTTTCAATTTCTCCTCCTTGTAGTATATTGTTGAACTGCTTGGCAATGAGTGGGTGTATAACAGTTAGATGTTTCAACCAAAACCCATGCAGTTCATCTTCACCTGGTGCTGACCAATTTTTGATTTTCTTTGCTCTTTTTTCTACCATTTTTGTTGTTATTACTAGTTCTTTCATTTCAACTTCTGTTTTATTTGCATCCACCTCTTTTAACCAAGCCGCATCCTTGTTGTATTTCTTTGGGTTATCCCATATCTGCTTCCAGAACTGCACTGTTTCTTCCTTGTCAGGTACTGACTGATTCCTTGCAGTTTCTCCATTGATGGATTGGTAGAAACGTTTCTGATTGGATTGAAATTGGAGGTTCTGCCTATAGTTTGCAATTCGAGCTTCATATCTACTGATTTTCCTGGCTATAGCTGTTATTTGTTGCTTTATTATTTCCAGTGCTTCCTTGATCTTCCTTGTTTCTAAGTGGTATTTCTTGATTAGGTATTCTTTGGTCTTCTTGTTCTTCAGCTTCTTTTCTTTCATCTGTTCTAGCTTGCTTGCATGTGATCTTAACTTGCTGATCTTATTTTCTAGTCTAACCTTCCATTTTTCTGGTGCACTGTTTGTTTGTTTTTCTTCTTTGTTGATTTTGCATCCCAGGTATTCTGTTATAACTGCAGCTGTGCTGTACATTAGTTGGTTTGTTTCTTGCAGTGAATTGGTGCTTATACTTGATATTGCAATATTTGCATCTTTTAATGCTTGTGCTAGCTGTTTCTTTGGAACAAGCTTCAATGCAGGTAGCCTTATTCTGTTGTTTTTGTGCTGTTCTAGATGCTCAGTTATTCTTTGTTTCAATTCTTTTATTTCTTTAGTTAGAGGGTTTTGTTCTTCCTGAGGAAGAGGTGCCTGGTTTCCAAATGAGAACAGTTGTATATCTCTGCTGGATTCCTTCACTGCCAACTCCCCCTGGTTTGCCTCTACATTCTGAATTACTTCTGGTAAGGCTTTGATTTCTTTGCCCTGGGTAAACCTTTGCAGTTCGTCCAATTCTGTTTCTGTGAATACTTTATTTCGTGTTATAAATCGGCGTTGATCTGCTAGTCTCTGTTCTGTTATTTCTGATTCTGGATGTTGTTCTTTCCAGAACTGGTGCATTCGTTTTAGATATCCTCTTCTTGTTGGACTTGATCTGTAGTAACAGATCATTATTTCTTTGTTTTCCATCACTGTGTATCTGCGACGGGTAAACACCTTTTCTTCCAGTAGTTCTGCAGCTGCTGGCCCTGGTTGCTCAGCCAACAGTCCTGAGTCCTGTAACCCATTTTTCACCAGATATCCAGGAACTCCAATATCTAGTGCGGACCTTGTTAACCCGGGCGACGTCCGAGCCGGTATGGCATTCTGAAATTTACGTCTCACTTATTAGATATTAATCTACTTTCTAGATCAGCAATTGGTCTGCACAAACAAGCAAAGCCCTATCCATGGGATGCAGGCAGCACACAAAAACTTTTCTCTACGGAACCGCTCCCTTGTGCCCAAAAGGTTGGGGACCTCTGTTCTAGATATTACTCTGCTTTACAGCCTTTCTTTCACTCTGTATATTTAAAAAAGCAATATAGTCTATACTCATACCTGTCTAGGTATAAAATACATTTATAATCCATAAGAACATATGAAAATTGCAGAAGATTAATGAACACCTATTAATTTTTAGTCATGCATTACATACAATCAGCCTTGTCAGGTTAATTGGGATATTGTCAGTCTTTTCCAGGGAGTATTTATCCAAGAAGGAAAATTGTAAGAGCTGAAGTATTTGTTTACCTGAAGTTCAGCTCACTCATGTTTCTTCTCTCCCTCTGATAACAGCATTTAAAAGATCCACATTGTTCCACAGAAAATGCTCAACGAAGGACAAAGGGTGGGGAAAGTAATGCAATGCAGGGATTTCTGTTATTTCTAGAGCTCATCTGTAAATATTGTGAATGGTGTCAAGATTTGTGAAAGCAGGTGTTGCAAAAGAAGACTTTCAACATAGTTTCTTCCTGTACTTTTGCAAGGAAATTCTATTATTTCCACATTCTCTGTTTACAGAACTAATGGGCATTGCTATATATACAAGAACACACATAGCCCAGCTGAAAGACATATTTAAAGGAAGCAAACTAGGTTCCCAGAGGCAAGATGACAACTTGGATTGGTTTTTGCTTCATATTCCTGATTGCTCTGGCTGCAGAGAGAGGACTATCCACACAGCAGGAGACAGAAACCAACTGCTGTGCACGTAAGTCTCAACTGGTCCTTTCTGTGCTGAGCTAGCTAATTAAGATAGATTGGTCTAGAGAGCTTCCCTCAAAACTGTAGGGGAAATCATCACTAGTGGGAACCCTTGGGATTTCCCCATCCCTTTAGGGAAAGTGCTGCTGGAGGATTTGCCAGAGCTCCAGACAATGGCTAATTTTGTTTTTTATTTTTTTTCCTAATTGCAACAAATGCAACAATATGGGGAAGACATTGTTTAGTGGCCATTTTCTGCTTTGTTATTGATCAGAGGGAGGAACCGATGTTCAAAGAGCAAAGTTAGCAGACCCGTAGTGGAAGCTTTAGTGAAGCTAGAGCAATTCTAGGAGAAGGGTTTAATGGATTGGGAAAGAAATAAACCAGTGGAGTTTGTCTTTGGCCAAAAAAGCATGCCTTATAAAAACATCTGTGCTCTATTTTGTAGCATATACTGTTTCCCAGCCTGAAAAGATTCTCCTAATCAGATGCTTTGTGTCAAAATTATCTTTCACGCATAAAGGCTGAACTGATCCAAGAACAGCTAATCCAGCTGGGCTTCATGTGTTGAATCAATCAGTTTGACATAGCTCATACTCTAAAGAAAACACAATAAAGACAGTTTTGAATGATTTTCATAGTTGCTGGAATTCCTCACTAGCAGAAACACATCTCTCTCAACTCCTGGTGGGTCTAGGACAACTTGCCAAGGCCAGTTCACCATGGCCGAGTCACTGTTGGCAACTCACTATGGGACAACTCATGGGGTAACTCACCATGGAACCAATCAACACAGAATAAGGCAAGAGAGGGACAAGTAAGTTGCAGAGGGTCTGGCGTCTTGCTTTAGCTTCGATCTTTCTCCAATTAGAAGTCCTTGAGGCTGGGGTGAGCTGCAATTCTCTTGTCTCTCTCTTGAATTGTCCCACATTCAATTGTCCTGCAGCAAGTCAGCTGAGGCAAGTTGGCTGCAGCGAGTCAGCCGGGGTGAGTCAGCCATGGCAAATCAGCCATGGCAAATTGTCCCATTTTGAATCAAAGTTACCCTGGTTCATTGCCACTACTCCCCCACAGCCCCGAGATGGGGCTCTGCCATTCTACTTGCTGCAAGAAGCATATACTGGAATGGAAGAGGGTAGGGTCCCACCTGGGTCCTTGTTTTTTATCATTCTGCCATTGGCTGGTTGCAGAGAGTGTGGGTGGCTCACGAAGCAGCTGGTAAGATTGCCTGATGCAGATTGGAAAGGAAACATGCTACCGTACCTAGGCTGGATGAGGCCCGAGACTGTAGTGAAAGAGGCACCTAATTACACATTTTGTGAAAATTATGTAAAATCTGTCAATAAATATCAAACCTTTTAAACCTATGGATTTAGTACTTCTACAAATCACTAAAGACACAGTAACTCACGTGTGTGTCTTTTTAAATGTAATGAATGTATAACCTATGCGTTATCTAAGACTTTAGCTAACAAGTTTTAAATATACATTCAAAAATATAAATGAGAAGAAAGAAATCTGATTCTTATATGCATAGATGGATTCGTTAGAGAACAAATATTTTCTGGGCTCCCAGTGAACTGCACTTTTGTGGAAATACTTGATTTCCCCTATATAAAGTGTGTAAGGTAATCAACTAGAATATTTGAAAGGAAAACATGTACATGTTAGTATTAGGGATTGTTTCCTTAGAGTATCCTATACATGCCATTGTTCTTCCTCCTCCTGCCCTTCTCACCTTTCCTCTAGCAGTTAAAAAAATGCAGGCTTTAAAAGCTTGTGAAGGCTCAGTAAAAAAAGTGAACTTGTCCAGAATTCCCCACGATAGAAATCCAATATTATCTGCTGCATCATCCTGGTTTTCTGGCAATCAAACTAGGGCCACCTTGATTTAGCGTGACTTGTTAGATTCTGAGGAAAACCTTCTTGCTTCTCTCTAGTTTTTCACTCAGTTTATGCTCTTTCTTCTATTCCAGAGTTGAAGAGCTTAGCAGAATGTGGGCGTGACAAGATTGTCCTCCAGGGCCAGGCAGGCATACCTGGAATTCCAGGTGTGCCTGGAACAAATGGACTTCCTGGGTCCAAAGGTGAGCCAGGACCTCAGGGGCCTCCAGGTAAGTTGACGCCTACTTCTGTTGACAATTGGTGTCAAGGAGATCTAGCAGCTTATTTGTTCTATTACTAGGAAAGTCATAGCCTGGACTGTCTAGAAGAAAGGATATTGGGGCAAGCATTATCAAGGTTACAGGCAGAGGGATGAAAACCATGCCCTGCCCCTCAAGTTCCAGCTAGGAAGGGAGGGTGCCATACTAACAAGATTGCATTTCAGGTCAGGAAGAGGGTTTTAAAAATGCTGATAACTGTACAGTAGTAGCAGTTGAGAGTGCTCCTATAGTTGGAACTAGTCCTTTTGGGGGGAGGATGGAATGTATCATTCTGTCAAAGGGACTATTCTTATGCCCACCAGCTTTCTTCCTTTCCAGGGATTAGTCAGTTCTTTCCTAGCAAAATGTTTATGGTCTTTGCAATGCTTGAGAAAGATGAGGAAAACCTGAAAAACAATGCAAGTTCAGAATATACATTCTTCCATTATGTGGAAAGTCTATAGGTAGCTTTCCTGTTTATAAAAAGGGTTGTTGCCCCCTTTTTGCAAACTGAAAGATGGAACCTGGTGTGATGATCTTGCTTTTTACCAGGACAAGATTTGGAAAGCTCTTGGTATATTCCAGATGTTCTTTTAAGAAGCATTGTTCTATTCTCCTTAGGTGAAAAGGGCTCTGCTGGGATACCTGGAAAAGCTGGACCAAAGGGAGACAAAGGAGACAAAGGTAACATATCTCCAGAAATCCATTTTTTAATGAGGGAGATATATGGAAATCCCAAGACTCTTGGCTTCCAAACAAATATTCTCACTCATGCTTCTACTTTGGCGATCACTTTGTAAGACAAGCTCTTTGCAGCCTATTTTCTATACCTCTGTTCCTCTGTGCAGGAAAATAGATAACAAACTTGCATAAAAAAGAAGTGTTGTTCTACAGAGTCCTCGACTTATGACCACAACTGAGTCCAAAATTTCCATTGCTAAGCAAGATCATTTTATGATCTTTCTCAGCACAGTTGTTGAGTGAATTGCTGCAATAGTTATAAGTTAGTACTATGATTGTCAAGTAAATTTGGCTTCCCCAGTGGCTTTGTCTGTCAGAAAGTTGCCAAGGGGATCATAAGATCCTGGGACACTGCAACCATTGCAAACACAAGCCAGTTGCCGAACTTCAGAATTTTGATCATGTGACTACAGGGATACTGCGATGGTTGTAATGGGAAGAATAGTCATAAGACACTTTTTTCAGTGCCGTTGTAATGGCCATTAAATGAATGGTTGCAAGTTGAGGACTACCTGTGTTCAGAGTTTGTGAAATAGTTCTTGTGTTCACATTTCTTTTTACTTGGAGAGCCCTGAGTCTGTTCAGCTCAAAAGCAGTTTTTTTCCCGCTTTCCACAGGAGAACCCTGCCGCTTAGAAAGCTGTCAGCAGGAAGGTATGTCTAAGCATTCTCCCCTTGCTTACTCAGTCACTTCAACCTTCCCCAGATAATTGGCACAAATGACCTCAGCTGGGTCTTCATCTTCTTTTTGATCTCCCTTTGTCTGCCCTTTATCACTCAGGATAATAAATGTAAAAATTGCCTGATCAGGCTAGAACAGATGCTTGGAACAGTACAAATTCTCTGATCATAGTTTAAGGATCATTGTGATGCATTTCATCTGCATCTATCAGCTTTCCCCAACCTGTGTCTTCTAAGAATGTTGGACTCCACCTCCCATAATCCTCCCCCTGATAATTAATGGCTCTAGTTTGGAGAAAGCTGCTACATATTCAAATAATGGATGTCTTATTCAGGTGTTCAAGGATCTATCTATACCTATATGTTGTAAGCTGCCCAGAGTTGTTGGATACGAGATGGAGGGCATATAAATTTTATAAATAAATATTTTCTTCATTTTTTAAAAAAAATATTATTGCATACCAATGTGTATCCATTCTCCTACAGTAGGCATTATGGTAATTTCACTGGAGGTTCTTGCATAGAGATCTGTAATTGTCCCACCACATATATTTTCAGTACAGATAGAATCTGAACTGATGCACACATTTCCCCCCCCCCCCATTCTTCTCTCAGAGGCAAGAGCCAGAAACTGCAAGGAACTCCGTGAACATGGAGAGACCCTCACTGGCTGGTACACCATCTATCCAATCACAGGGAAAGTGATGGTGGTTTTCTGTGACATGGAAGTAGATGGAGGGGGCTGGTTGGTAAGTAAGAGATCTTAGAGATGTTTGCTTCCATCATAATGAAAACAGGAAAAATATTTTAATTCATTAGTAATATTCAAAGGCTAACTCGGCTTTTTCTAACCTGGCTCCCTCTTGATCTGTTGGGTGACAGTATCTAGGATTCCCAGCTTTTGTCATGCTGGCTAAGAATTCCAAGAGTTGCTGTCCAGCATACCTGGAGGGGGCCAGGTTAGAGAACCTATGTACAGAACACAGAATAACAGAGTTGGAAGGGACCTTGGAGGGCTTCTGATTCAACTGCCTGCTCAAGCAGGAGGCCCTATGCCAGGGGTAGGCAACCTTGGCTCTTTTATGACTCGTGAACTTCAATTCCCAGAATTCTTGAGCCAGCCATGCTGAGGGGAAAGGGAGAGTTTCCAAGCTGAGCCATGTTGGCTCAGGAATTCTGGGAGCTGAAGTCCACGAGGCATCAAAGAGCCAAGATTGCCTACCCCAGTGGCCTATGCCATTCCAGACAAATGGTTGTCCAGTCTCTTCTTAAAAATCTTCAGTAATGGAGCACCCACAACTTCGGGAAGCAAAATGTTCCACTAATAGTTCTCACTACAGGAAATTTCTCCTTAGTTCTACGTGGGATCCTCTCTTTGATAATTTTCCATCTGTTACTTCTTGTCTTGCCTTCAGGAGTTTTGGAGGAAATCATAGGAATCTCCCTTCTACCTGCCTGAAGCAGAGTTCAGAAGACCTTGGGTCGTCCCTTCCTCAGCATACATCTCTACAAGCTTTGCAGAGAAAAGAAAGCAATCCTTATTCTAGACTAGAGAAAAATAGGCAGTCCCTATTCCACCTCAGTTTTTCTTGATTTCTTTCTTTTTTTGTCCTGTATACAGATGGGAGCGTAGGTGGTCTTTCATACTGCATTTTAAGTCCAGATAACATGGGTACTAGTGCTTCCAAACAACTTTTTAATTAAGTAGTCACCCTGCCACAATGTTTTACTTTTAAAGCAGTAGCCTGATAAGAACTTACTAAGCCAGTATGAGAGACCCAAATGGAAATGGTATAACATTAAGAAAGCAGATTCTCTCTCTCAACTAGGTCTTTCAGAAGCGGCAGGATGGGTCTGTCAATTTCTATCGTGAATGGGAATCATACAAGAAAGGATTTGGGAGGCAAGAATCAGAATTCTGGTTGGGCAATGATAAGATCCATCTTCTCACCAGTTCTGGTAAGTCCAAAATCTCCTACCTGATGCTCAGTTTGATACATTAAATCTGTTTACACAGACAATGCTTATCTTTATCTGAATTAATTTATAAGGAAAGATGAACATCAATCCTTTCAGTCTCTAATATTACCAGAGACTCTCTTTGCATCACAGGGACACAATATGCATAAAAGAAAGACTCTGATCTGTTCCTGTTGGTCCATAAAACTTAACCTCTATTTCCTTCCATAAAGATTAATGATACATTCCAAATTCATAAATGAAATCTGAGAAAAATAAACTTTTTTCTGTAATTTGCAAATTTTTTCAGAGCTTTATGTAGCATGATTCCCCAAGTGAGTTGATAACTAACATCAGGAATAAAATGCTTAAAAATAGGGGAAAAGAGAAAGTTGCTTTCTTTCTCATGTGGGCCCATCACTGTCTTTTACACACACACACACACACACACACACACACACACACACACACACACACAGTCCCTGGGTAATATATTCATATACAGAACTAGGACACCCCAGCAGCAATCTGTATCTCTCCTTGCTGCCTTACTCACCATATGTAAGTAGAAAGTTATTAAAAAATATTGGCTTTGTAAAAGCAAAGGAAAAAGTGGCAATGCATGGATCGTTTTCTGGCTAATTGTGCAAAATGACCAGACAAAGTTTGTGACTTCTGGACTGTGGTTTAATTTTCCTGGGCCAACTCTTGTGCTCCTGAATTCTGCTCTTCCATGTTGTAGGTTATCATTGCTTTTGGATGGACATGGCTCACAATTCCACTGTGGACATGTCCTGATGGAATGAAAGCCTGCTACAATGATCAATACGCTTCCCTTCAAGGATTTCTGTATCTCTAGTATTCATTCTCTAATAACATTTACCCCTTCGGTGTTCAGGTACACATCACCTACGGATTGATGTGGAAGATTTCAATGGTTCCACAACTTTTGCAACATATTCCAGTTTCAGAATCGCAAATGAAAGTGAAAACTACAAGCTAAGTCTGGGCTCCTATTTGGATGGTAACATGGGTGAGTAATACAGAGATTTCCTCTTCATTTCAGTACCTTGGTATACATCATAAGATACAATTATCTTAAGACAAATATCTGTCATACAACAGCTGATTTTCTGAAGGCATTTAGTCAAGTCATATGAGCCTCAAGGGACCATATGAATATATAAAACATTTTTATGGTTTTGCCTTCCGCTTCTATTCATAAGAAATATATTATTTTTGATAGTGAATTTTAGAATTACCAGTGACGGTGAAAAAAATGCATTATCTCAGTACTATTGCATATAATATTACACTTCATGAATTTCTCTCATCCTTTAAACAAATCAAAGAGTCCTTTTCTTGAAATAATTATGTCTGTGTTCATTTGAAGCTATCAAAATATGTACACACAGTTCTCATATAGCAATAATTGGGACCAGCAATTCAGTTGTTAAGCAAAGTAGTCGCTAAGTGAAACTATAACTGTGCTTATGATCTTACTTCAGCTTTCCTTTGCTTTAGAAGACCTGTAAAAGTGATAAATGTGGACACTGGTTACAAAGTTACTTTTTAAACTTTATTATAACTGAATGATCGCTGTCTGAGACAATTGCTAAATGAAGACTATTTGTATTGCGTGTGTATTACTGCCCTGACCTTTTATAACAAGAAGTGCTCCAAATGAACAATTCCTTCTTTATCATTTAGGTTGGCCCAGCGGTAGACAACCTTGGCTCTTTTATGACTCATGGACTTCAACTCCCAGAATTTCTGAGCCAGCATAGCTGGCTCAGGAATTCTGAGAATTGAAGTCCATGAGTCATAAAAAAGCCAAGGTTGCCTACCGCTGGGTTGGCCTAATGAACTAACCAACTTTATGCTATTGAATCCATTTTGACTCCTGGCAACCATGTGGACAAGTCTCTGAAATTTTCTTGGCAAGCTTTCAGAAGTGGCTTGCCCGTGCTTGCTTCCTGGGGTGGGACGGGGTGGAGGTGGGGAGAGAGAAAAAAAGAAAGTCAGAGAGACTGAGAGAGACTGGCCCTAAGGTCACCCAGCTGTCTTTGTGCCTAAGGGGTGACTAGAACTCAGTTTTTTGGTTTCCAGACTGGTCCTTAAGCTCCATGCAAAACTGGCTGTCTGTCATGAAGCAGAAATAGTTTATTTTCTGTTAAAAGATCGATCCATTCATATATCTATGAAAGGAGCTACATTTGTTGTGTTGCACTTTGCCAACAGGAAGAAAAAGGTTTGAATTTGGCCTTAATGTTGCTTTTCTATTATTTTGCATTATTTTATTTCATACTGTATTTTTTAAATGAATCTCTGCTAACTGTGGTATATATTGGATTCTTTCTCATTTTTTGATCTTTAATCATGAATGAATAAGCAAGCTCTAGAACTGAATCGAGAATTTTAAATATGCTTTAAATATAATTTGTATATATAAGGTGACCAACCGTCTTCCTTTAGGGAGGACAGTCCTCCTTTTGTAAGTTCTGTCCTCCCTCAAAAAGTGTCCTCCTTCATGTTCTCCTTTTCGATATTTGAAGACTAATCTGCAGGGCTTTTTTTCCCCTCATAGAACGCTCAGAACGACGTTCTGGCACCTTTTTTTGATGGGTTTTTTTTTTTCAACTTTTGCATTAGCTGTGCTACTCCCACTATTGGCTTTCGAAAGGCAATAGGAATTGCTGCTGAGCGCGCCAAAACACCCGGCTGGCAAACTTTGCACATGCAAGTTGTCTGTATTATTGTTGCAATGAATAAAATGTTTCTTTTATTTACAATATTTTTTTCTTCAATTTATTTGTCTCCTCCTTTTCATTGTAAAAAAGTATATATAATTTATATATCTCTCATATAATAGTGTCTGGTGATCTTATTACATTGTTCTAAGTCTAGCTGTGTTTGTAAACCATGGTTTATAGTTTGGCATGTGACATGATTCATAAATTAGGGTTTATTTAATAAACCATGGTTAAGCAAAGTGTGTAAGGAATTCCTACCTAGTAATGTGATAGACTGACTTGGGAATTTCTGCATATAAGTTATGTATTCTATTATATTTGATTTCCTGTTGAATTCTTCCTAGCAGAAAATATGCATTTTTCACTGCTGTAGCACTTTGACTGAAAGCAACAATACAGTGAATCATTGACTTTCTCCTCTGATTATCTTCACTCAGGTGATTCTTTCTCAGGACATAAGGGCCTGGCATTCTCTACAAAAGACAAAGACAATGATACCTATGAACCCGCAAGTTGTGCTGCAAGTTACAAGGGAGGCTGGTGGTATGGTGCCTGCCACTCTTCCAACCTGAATGGCCTGTATCACAAAGGGGAACATACCTCTTATGCTGATGGCATCAACTGGCATTCTGGGAAGGGGCATCACTATTCTTACAAATATGTGGACATGAAAATTAGACCTCAATAGGTGAAATATCAATATATTTGGAATTGTTCAACTCTGACTTGCTGAATGAACTTATTAGCACTTGAATATCTTCCTGAATTCTGTTCCTGAAAAAAGAAGGCTAAATAGTGGCTATCCAAACAATTGTATATGTATTTATAAATACAAATAAACAGGGGGGGATTCATTTGGGAATTAAAGGTATCTGAAAGGAAAAAGCTACTTTTTGGATGGAGGGTACCCAAATGTCTCTTGCTTGAGAATTTAGCACAGTGGTAGCGAACCTATGGCACAGGTGACAGAGGCGGCACTCGGAGCCCTCTCTGTGGGCATACGTGCCGTTGCCCCAACCTTGCCTCCCCCCGTGACCCCCTCCTCTCCAGCAGCCCCCCTGAAGGAGAGTCGCCCTTGAGCGTGGCCCATACAGAGCAGCGCAGCCAAGGACATGGCAGCCAGGCAGCGTTTACAAGACTCTGCCCTCACACCCCATCATGCAGTTGATGCTGCAGGGCGTGGGCAGAGGGTGTGGCCACCATAGCGTTGCTGGGCTGCCTGGGTGATCTGCGGCGGGCCCTGGAGGCAGTGAGTGGTCCTGTGGGTAGGCGGGGCAGGGGAGGGGGTGGAGTGGGGGCAGGGCTAGTTTTTGGGCACTCGGTCTCTAAAAGGTTCGTCATCACTGATTTAGCATCTTCAATTTGGGATGTTATCCACTGTTATCTTATGGAAGGCCACTAGCCTAATAAATTTTGATTGAATGTCTAGAATCCTCGTATTGTAAATGCAAAGCAATTACTATATCATCCCTGGATGCATCAGGTATTCCAGAAAGACCTTAAAACAGTGATATAATCTTTCAATTACATGAAATATTTAGTACCCTTACAAAATCTTCCCATTCCTGGGGTTGTGGTATGAGGCTACCTTGTATCACCATAAAACTGAGAGCAAATGGGCATTATTGATCCACTTGAGTTGATGAGCTGTGTGAGGTTGTGCAACCTGAGGATGTCACTTTGAACTAATTGATCATTTTAGGAAAGAAGGGAAAGTATTGTATGGAAGGAACTGAATCTTGACAGAGTTTCTCCAAACACAGATATAACCCAAGAGAGATACATTTTAATTGAGACAGTTAAATCAACAATCTGGGAACAGATTTTTCTTTTCTTTCGAAATAATTTATTTTTCTGTATTGCAACTTTGAAATATCCATTCTCATTCTTGAAAACATGTAAGATACATGGATCTTATTCTACTAAAAATATCAACTTGATTCTCACAATCTGAAAACAGTGAGATTTTTTTCTTTACTGCTCTGTCCCCAGATATTTTTATCAAATCCTCAGAAGCACACTGTGACAGGATCCTAGTGCAATTATTAGTACTATCACCTCTGCATTGCTTTGTGTAGTGCAGTGAGGAGAGGGAACTTTAAGAGGATGCTGAAGCCAAATTCCCAGCAGCTATAGCTGCTGTGACCAATTCAAAACAAACTGGCTATTTGCAGTTCAGTTTCCCTGCCACTGGCACTATATTTTATAAGGCACATCTCCACTTGATATCAATGGTGAAAAGGAACAATTCATTTGTCAGCTTTGGATGTACAGCTTATTATATATTATTTGGAAATAAATGGGAATTCCTAATGTTCAAATTTTGCTGTTTCTTTGCCATATTGCATGGGAATGTCATGACATCCTAACATTCATATTTGGATACCTCGTTTTGTAAATTTTTGTGAACATTCTTCTCATGCATTGTGTACAACATTAAACCCACACTGCAATACTCTTTTAATTACCTTCTTGCCAGCCTGGAACTTGTCTTTTAATTACCTTCCTGCCAGATTCCCCACTGACTTTGGTTGTGGGAAGCTGGCAGGAAGTAGCTTGACCCTAGGATCCAGTTAATGATGGCAACTGGGGCAAGGATTGCTGTTGCTAAGCTAGGCGGTCACATTTTACAACCACATCACTCAGTGATGGAAATTCTGGTCCCAATTGCAATTGTCAATCAAGGACTCCCTGTAGATATTTAGGCATGAGGTGAGCCCTCTCCCACCCTAGTGATCAAACAATATTGTGACTAGAGCTTTGTGGTGTGTGAAATCCTGTTTTTATCATCGGGCTATTTCAAGGCATTTTCTCTTATCTGAATAGGCTCGTTTTCAGGAATGGCTATTCCGTCTTTCACTCTTTGGACTGACAATCTAACAGTGACTAACAAATGGCAATCCTATCTGTGAGAACAATTAACAGTGAACAGCTTGCCTTCAGAAATTATGGGTGCTTCATCACTGGAGGTTTTTAAGAAGAGACTGGACAATCGCTTGTCTGACTGAAATGGTAGAGTCTCCTGCTCGAGCAAGGTCCTTCCAGCTCTATTCTATTCAAAATAAGCATACAGAAAGACAGGAAAATCTAGCTCGCTTTCCTTACCCCGCTCCTCCGAAAGCGCCCCCACCCCCGCCTGCGCACTTCTGCGTAGTCTCTTCAACCCGACCCCTCCCTTCCGAGTGCGCTTCTTCCGCAGCGCGTGCGCTTTCGTCACATCTGCCGCGTTCCGAGGGAAGCACCTGCGGGCGGCGCTGCTCTCGGCGAGCCTACGGCAGTCTCTCTCTCTCTCTCTCTCTCTCTCTCTCTCTCTCTCTCTCTCTCTCTCTCTCTCTCTCTCTCCCCCCCCCCTCCCGATCTTGCGCAGAGCTTTCCAGCACAGGCCGAGGCGCGGTTTCGGTCGGCGCTGCTGCGGGTTCAAGGGCGAGGCCGTCCACGCGTTTTCTCCCCCAGAGGGTGACAGGCAGCCACCGGCGCAGCAATGCTGGCTTTCCAGAAGGGGCTGCGGTTGCTGAACGGGACCGTGAGGAGCCAGGTCCTCCCAAGGGCAAAGATGTCCAACAAGCCAGGAAACAGTTTCCTGGTGAGAGTTATTTTTTCTTTAAAGCTTCCAGCCCCCCCCCCCCTCCGCTTCTTCTCCCCCCCCCCCCCATGACTCATGAATGTCAATATTGCCAGGCTCTCGCCTGTAAGAGTGGGTTTCTGAAGGGCTCAGTCGCATCTGAAATCAGTCTCCTGGCTAGACTTGTGCTAGAGAACGTCCGAAAGGAACACGGGTCAAAGGGTTGTATTTTAATTACTCTGTTACGGCGAGGCCATGTTATATTGTACCTCTTTTTCCGGACGGACTGAAATATGTGGTGGAAGAGGAAATGCTCCCAAGGACAGTGTCACGTGCCTTTATGCCTTTTTAAAAGGAAAAATTGTCGTTGAAATGCCTATGATATTAGGCAAACGACCTTTACCTCGGCCTCTGTAGTTACATATAAGTACAGAAGGTCTTATGGATGGTTGATGAAAATCCCAACAGATGTAAGCCTTAAATGCTGTCTGCACTCTTGCACTCGCTTTGCTTACTAAAATCAGAGGTCACAATATGAAGGCAGGAGAGATTAACTGTCCCCTCAAATAAACACACACACCATTATTTTCCCCCTGAAATTTCGTTAAATATGTAAGATTTGATCTCAGCAGTTAACTCTGTTAATTGCTTGTCACTTTAAGACAGTGTTTATATCCAACATTTTACAATCAGAAGCATTATATCTTTTCCCCCTTGCCTAATGTTGTACTAATCCCTATTTCCCAGAGGCTGCCATGTAACAGATGAAATGACCATGAAGAATAGGGTGGGATCGGGATTAGGATTAGGATTTGGGTTAGGGTCGAGGTTTTTCCAAGTAATATTTTCAATATTTAGCAAACAGCATAGTGTCTGGGTACATGTATTTAACTAACAATAATAGATATAATTAATTATCAAAAATAGGATAAGTGGTTTGAGCTAGTTGTTTAAAAAACATTATTGTTTTTTTAGTTTGGAATTCTTCCAAACGCACGTGTGCTTGTTTCGTAAAAATTTTTATGAGAGTAGGCTAGATAGTGGCCTTTTTTAGTTTTAATCTTTTCTACATTCTCATCATATATCCCATCTTTCTCATTTCACAAGAAACTGGTAAGAGGGGAAAGTCTTAATTGTCAAGAATTCTTATTCTGTTTCAAGACTAAATTTTAATTATTTGCAGCAAACAGTGCATTATTTTTCATGTTTTCAAGATTTCCCTGCAGTAAAGTACTAACTGTATACATTTTAAATAGGCTGTAATACATCTGAGATTTATATTGCCGTTGTGTTGTTTGCTGCAAGAAATAAGTGTAACATAACAGATGGAACCTAATTTGAAAGTATTTCTAGGCTGTATTCTGTAAAATTACCTCAAGGAATCTACAGGAATTTGTACTGCTGAGAAAACTGAGGATCATTAAGATTATAATGAATATTGTATATGCCATGTTATTTGCTGTATGAATTATAAATTAATCACATGTTTAGTAATTTATAGAAGTTTGCACGCAGCCCATAAGATTTCATATATACACTAGAAATGAAACAACTAAAGAGTCACATTTCTCCCCTAATGAGCATCTATTATCTCTTGTGTGCTGCAGATACATACTTAACACACATTTTTTTCAATTTACAGGAAAATGCCATTGGATTCACAGTGATTTTTGCTGGCGGCTTTTTCCCAATTTGTTGGGTTATGGGCAATCTGGACAGTTACAGTAAATGAGAAAAAAAAGCTTTGGGAACATGGTCACGAAGAAGAAAATGTCAATATTTGCTATTCCCAGAAGCTTTCATTATTAAAACTAAAATTTAAAAATTCATAACACGTTTTTATTTAGAAAAACCAGTATGCGTTATTCATGATAGAAATAAATATTGAGGTTCTCTATATTAATTACAAAAATATTTATGCAAATTTGAGACATATAAATTTTTAAAAAGCTTTCCAGGAACAGAAGGCAGAGCTGAAGCAAAACAAAGTAGGCCTTCCTTACAGTGAGGGGAAAAAATTACTTGATTCCCCTGCTGATTTTGTACATTTGCCCACTGACAAATGATCAGTCTATAATTTTAATGGTAGGTTTATTTTAACAGTGAGAGACAGAATAACAACAAAAAAATCCAGAAAAACACATTTCAAAAAAGTTATAAATTGATTTGCATTTTAATGAGTGAAATAAGTATTTGATCCCTTCGCAAAATATGACTTAGTACTTGGTGACAAAACCCTTGCTGGTCAGATGTTTCTTGTAGTTGGCCACCAGGTTTGCACACATCTCAGGAGGGATTTTGTCCCACTCCTCTTTGCAGATCCTCTC